TTCACTGGTATTACAAAGCCTGTTTCCATTGCACCTGATCATTGTGTAATTAACAAATGAGAAGTGGATCATTCACTGAGTTATATGATTTTCAGAAGCATTGTCTGTCTCTCCACAAATGGCTTTTTGCTCAGTATCATCCCTGAGGAAAATGTATACAGACTTTCTTGAGTTTGAAGCAACTATAAACTTGTGGTCATAAAATTGAGGTATTGACATCTTTTTCTTATTAAAGAGAACAAAGGCAGCTGGTGACCCAATTTCATATCTGTGATAACCTCTTAAAAATGTCTTAATGTTACGTCATTATGGCCCAAAACTTCACTAGAGAAAAGGGATAAAATTGATAGAAGCAGTTGTGTTCTTTCTTTTACACACAAGAGCAGCGGTATGATTGAGGGGGAGGGCATTAAGGAGAGTCAGCCTAGTGGAATCATACTAGCAATAGTTAACAATGCTGTTATTTTGGAAGATTTCATGTTTTAATTTTATTGTACATAGACCATGTGTAATTAGTGTGTCAGTTAATATGCTGTCACATGGAAAACATACAAACCTGTTCATCCCCACTTGTCATCTCTAAGGAACAAAAAATTAGTTATAAAATTCCTTTACCTCTACAAAACCATGGTTGTGTTTATGTAAATTGAAACTCTTCTGTCATTCTAATTCTTATTTACTTGCTACAATGCTTTATAAATTAAGTTTTCTTGAGTGAAAAAAGGTGATAAATTGACAAATTAACACATTACAGCTAAGCATTCTGAGCTATTACCATTTCTGACGTTATTCTAAGTGATACAGCAATGGTTTATTTTTCCAAACCCCCTGACAGATTTTGCTCTAACTTCTTAGGCACACAAGATGTCATCATTTTGTGTGGTGTTATTCTGAGCATGAGTCTAATTCTGACAGTATGTTGTGGCTGCAAGAAACTAAGGAAGAAGAACATAAAGCTGCCTAAGTCTTTGGTAAGTTCAGACTTCTTATCTGCGTCAGATTTTTAATATCCAGCTAGGTAACTTTTTATAACTATAACATCTTTATGCCTATCTTGTCGTCTTTTTTTTTTTTTTTTTTCTTCCCCCCCACAGTCTCATAGACATTTGGGATTTATACCGGTCTAATATTCTGACAGCATCTGCAACCAGATGCCTGGTATTTGTTTTACCACTAGACTTCAGTCTCTTTTTAACTGAAGTAGCAGTAGTTGGTCTAGTTTGAGAACTTAGTTCTTAAAAACCCAATGTGTGTGTACATAGACAGGTTTGTATTCATTCTAGTAGCAAAGACACAGAACCACAGAATCGCTGAGGTCGGAGGAGACTTTTTGAAAGATTGTCTAGTCCAACCCTTTTGCTCAAGCAGGGTCAGTGAGAGCAGGTTGCCCAGGACTTTGTCCTGTTGGGTTTTGCATACCTCCCTCCAAGGAAGGAGACTCCACAACTGCTCTGGGCAACCTATTCCAGTGTTTAACCACCCTGACAGGAAAAACTGTTTTCTTACCTTCAGATGGAATTCCATGTGTTTCAGTTTGTGCCCATTTCCTCTTGTCCTGTCACTGGACACCTGTGAGGTTGCTTCCTTTACATGGTGATGTTGTGATACTGCTAAGTGCTACAGTGTTCTTAAAGTGATGGCAGAGTAAGGAGGAGGGGGGAGTAATAGTGCTGTTAGGAAGAGGGAAGAGCAACTAGGGGCAGTCTGCTCTCACACTGAGCAGTCACGGGGAGGAGAGGTCAGCAGCTGCTCTACCTAAAAAGCTCCCTGTAGCCGTTCTTGAGAAACAGAGTGGATGTTCCTTAAGGAGCAGCAGCACTCCTTGCTTGCACATCTGGCAAGAGCGGAGTATCTGACAAGTACTGTTAGAACGTCCTCCTGGTGTCTTGTTAGTCACAGCAACTGAACAATCAGGAGCAGTTGAAACAGCTTTCAAGAACTATGTGAGATGGTGGTAAATGGTAATCATATCAAGAGTGTATCTTCTCAGCGGATGCTTCTAGAGAGAAGAGGCAATGATCTTCAATTCTGTGGTCTTCAAGACCCTTTAAAGTGAATCCTCTGTAGTGCAGGGGTAGCTGGATGCCTAAGATCTGCCTGGAGCCTGCTTTCTTTAGAATAGAATATTAGGAGGTGAAATTGCTCTGACTAAGTGGAGATGTCCAAGCCAGTGATGCTAGCTAGGTCCCTTTGTAGTAAGCAGTAATGTAGTCCATCAGCTTGTGCAGCACAAGATGATTCATCTCACTCTAGAATAATACACCTTTCTGGTCAGACAAAACACTCTAAAATGCCTGTTTCTCTCCATGGACTGTGACGGAGTCATGAGACTAGTTCAGAGAGAGCCATTCACACTATAGACTTCAAAAAAAATCAGATGAGAGAAACCTGCCTGATGGTCACGGCCCCAAGCCTGTCAATGTTCAAGAAGCATTTGAACCATGCTCTTAGATGTATGGTTTAACTTCTAGGTTGTCCTGAGTGGAGTCAGGAGTTGGACCCTGTGATCCTTGTGGATCCCTTCCATCTCGGGATATTCTGTGATTCTGTCCTTTTCCATTGAAGTCTCTAGTGACAAATATAAATTGCAGAGCTTGTAAGGATAGTTTCAGTGCAGGTGATATGAATAATGTAGGATGGTAAAAATGAATAATTAATATCTTAGATTAATTATAGATTTTTAATAATCATTTAAAATAATGCATAATGTAAATAATTAGTATGAATAATAAGTTTGGTGATATGAAGTTCTCTCTGTAGACTTCTTGGAGCTGCGAGCCTGTCACTGACCTTTTGAATGTGCACTAGACAGTTCTTTCTGTACAGGTTGTGACCAAAGTGCTTTACCGGAGGTTGTCTGAAAATGAAACATGTAGGGAGTTTTTTCCATCTGTTAAAAGGCTAGGCAAGCTGTCCTACCTTAGGACTGCTGCCCTCCAGTGATCTGCTTCCTGGTGTCTTTAAGTAGATGCTAAAACATCATTGGAGTGACTTTCAGCAAGTTGGAATTCTCCAACGGAAGGGAAAATGAGAAAGTAACCATCAAGTAGCTGCCTTTGAGAGTCTCATATACCCAAAGAAAAGAAGAAAAGAATCCATTGCCATTTAGATCTCAAGAACTTTTAGATGGTCTTTTCTACGCTGTTTGTGCCTCCCAAGAATAACATGTCGGTCATGTACAGGTCCTACTTCCACAGTGCAGCTGTCTTTCAGTATGGGCATTGAATGATTACCTTCATTAGAGAAAATGTTCATTTAAATGTTTTAAACATCCTTATTCGTAGTAGAATCCTACCAGGAATATGCATCTAATGAAATGGGACAGATGCCTTTACAAGACTTCATCACGCTTGTCTGCTGCTGGATCACAAGAATCTGATGTTTCAGCAGTCCAGCTGTAGTTAGAGCCATTCATTTTCGTTCATTTGTCTCACAAACAGTATTTCAAGAGGCCATTTCCTTCCACCCACCATCTTCAGTCATTCCAGTTTGTCCTGTGCGTGATTTGTCCTGTACTAGATTTTTATTGTAAGATTTGTGATAAAGGCTTACCCTTTTTAAAAGGAGCCTGGCCTTAATTTACTGATACACTGTGGGCATCCCCCTCTGCTTTAACTTCACTGTCTTTTTTTTCAGTGCCTCTTATCTTTAAATGGTAGCAAATATTTTAGTGGGTAGAAAACACCCACTCTAAGAGAAAGAGTCATTGAAAAGCATCAACTTTCATTTTTAGCTTATACTTAAGTCAACTTTTGTGCTGCCTGCTGGTGCTTTTTCTGAGCCTAACAGGAATGGCAAGGCTGCGTCTCACTATATTTGTAGAACGCTTACAGATGTTCACAAAACACTTAGGAATTTTCTTGGTGACTCTGGCTGGTTTGGTTATACAACATATATTTTTGATTTGGAGAAATTGTAATCGTTCCTGTAAATTTTAACTGATATTTGCCACAAATAATTGTCATCTTACAAGAGAGACGCTGCTTTGTTAGCTTTTGTGAATTTTTTTTTTTTCCTGTGAGTGCCTATAGGGCAGTAAGATAGCCTCCTGCTTACACGTTTACCCAGCATTAATTTGTTGTGGAACTATGCAAAGGCCATGCAGATTTTGTCAAGGTCCTAGTAAGATCTGAAATGGACTTCTCAAACTCTCCTCCAGAAGATGTGCACATGAAAGTTACTGGGAATTCGTAGGTGGACAAGCCCTTAGAAAAGAAAGTTAGGAAATAAACTGTTGATTACCTTAACTGTTATGGATTCCTTGGGATATGTTATTTATATTTATCCTTGACCCTGGCTTCCACTGGTGTATCTCTCTAGTCTGTTGAAGGTTCAGGTGCTGTCATTGGAGACAGGAAGATATCTGAGCACCTGCACATGCCAGGAAATACTGCTGACATCCAGCTTAAGCTCGCTGGCTGTCACTTTGCTGGTATTAGATAGTGTACGCGAAAGAAAAATATTAACTTACCTATGATAAGTACTTTTCTTCCAATAGCAACCATATCTTAATTACCCTTGTTACTTAAGATGCTTTGAATTGCATTCCAGTTAGTGTAGTAGGCTGTGATTCTTCTCTTTGAAGCTAGAAATAACTGCATGAATTACTAAATTGTCTTGTAGTCGTTACTCAGTGACTCTTAAAGAACCTTTGGTACCAGGAAACCCACAAGAGTGTTTTCTTCTGAAGGCTTCCTTCTTTCACGGATGGGAATTAGGAGTGTTTGCACCATCTTGCTTTGGTCAAAAACTCACCAAGAGAAAAATGGGTTTCCTTTTTGAGAACAAAAGTCCGGGATGTAGTTGTATAGAGGGTACTTAGTTCATCCTTGGGGTCCATCTCTAAGCATTGTCAGCTGGCACTGTGAAATGTAGAACCTGTGTAGAGTACAGGGTGTTCCCTTAACACATTTTTAGGACTATAATTTTGAGCCATGTGAAAATCCTAAAAGGATGGAAAGGAGAACTCACTGGGTTTTGGTTTTCACTTCAGTATAACATGTACTGGTATGGGGGAGAGATAGGAAGTTGTAAATGCAGCTTTTAGCCATCGTTTCCATGGCATTTTGTTTTAATTCGCATTCCTCAAGTATTCCAGCTTACACAGAGAATTATCTTCTCTTGTTGCTTACTGTGTGACTATTGGAGGCAGATTTCTGCTACCCCCCAAAAAACTACAGCTGCTGGTCCCTTCAAGGTCAGTGTCGGAATAGCATAAGTATCCAATATTTTTTCACGTATCTGTATAAACAGATTTTCGAAAGGTACATTAATCCTACCAGCTGTTCATAACATTTTCAGCATCTATGCATTATTGATTGTATTCTGGTTTCTGCAACTATCTTTTAAGCATCTGCTTCTTATGAATGGTTGGTTGCCATACGTACTCATGGAAATTACTCTGAATGTTCTTTATACAGTATTCTGACTGTTTCTGCGTAACAGAAAATGAGCATCCAGAGAGGATGATTGCTGAATGGTAGTGAGGTTGTAGTGTGGTCTGTTCTCAGTGTCTGGAGCCACCTTAATGCCCTTTTTCCTAGTTTTCCAGTGGTGGTCCTCAATTCCCAAGGGGATCACCTCACCTTAGTGGTGCTAACACAGCTGTTTGTGAAACTCACTTAGATTACAAAGAATGCTCTCCAGGGGGTGTTTGCTTGCTTTGTGGTGGGGTGGGTGGGTTGGTTGGTTTATTAAATGCCAATAGTTTCATTGATCCAGCATAAACCACAGTACCATCAACAGTTACCAGGGCAACTGAGGGGAAAGGTAATGGGGCTGAAGTGAGAGATGAAGGCAGGTTCTAATGAAGTTGGCACACTGTGAAGGTATGAATGTAAAGGTACGGCCTTGCAGCCTGCTGATCAAGGAGGATTCTTGAAAAGCACAGTCAGATTTGATCATCTGGTTTTGATGGCGCTCTCAGTTCTTACACTAATACAGGCTGGGAGGTTCTTTTTGGCTATTTGTAGCTTTTCTGGAACGACATTATTTTTCTCCCCCTCTTCTTAAAAGTCTTTTCCAACCTAAACAATTCTGTGATTCTCCTACCTACATCCCTTGCTTCCACATTTCCCTCACCCTGCATTTTCAGTCAGATTTTTTTTTTTTACAAGGTATCTCAAAACCCAGTGATTGTGTACATATTATTAAGAAATTAGTTTATAGTACTTGATAGTCCATGATGCACATATATAGTCAATTATGAAATTTGGAAAAGGATGCTATTAATTGCATAACCCTTTCTCTCCATGCTTTCCGTTAGCTTTAGGGAACACGGTCATACAGCTGAAAACTTACCCTACTTTGTTTTTCATATGTATTCTTGAAAATACCTTTTAAAAAAAAAAAAACAGAAGAATCTAAACAGCCTGAAGGCACGTCATAATCATTTAAAACAAGCTGGAGCCTGGCCATTAGGAATGTATGTGGAGGGGTTTCAAAGTGAAACATGAGAGTTTGTCGCAGCATTGAGGGGGTGCTTATTCTGAGACACAGGAGAAATAACTAGGAAGACTTCAGCACAGCTATGACTACTGGGTGTGCATAAAGGTTCTTATGTCATTGTAAAGATTGCTTTCTAAAGTTCTCAACTTCCCTCACAGTTGAGGCAGTTGCCACAAAATATTACAGTCATTGCAAGTGACACTCATTAGCTAGAGAGTATGAAAGGTTTCCTCAGTTAGTTGAAGAGTATGACAGCTTTTTCTTCCTTTGCTGTTTTCCTCTACGTTGCAAACTTCAAATGACTTAACCTACAGTGGGTGGCATGAAGTGGATTTGGTCCTTGCAGATGTGTTGGCACATCGAAAGCATTTTCAAGAGCTTGCATGAATGAGCTAATGAAACAGTTGAAGTCATAGGCTAATGACCGTGCCAGATTCTAATTGTGCTGATTTCTGTTGGGATTGGTTGTAATGACATTAAATTTGTATTATGAACTTGTATATTTTTTTTTTTTAACATCTATACTTTGGCAGAAGATAAAGCCAATGAATTAGTAGATTATGGAGAACTAAAAGTTTTTTGTTTGTTTTTTTTTTTTCCATTTAAGGTCAGTGTGATAAGAAACCTGAACACAGACAGCATTCTAGAATCAAAGTCGGAGACAAAATACGTATCTGTAATAAGCATCATGCCAGGCCAGTCAGCAACTGATGAAGTAACGTCACTGGAGGTAGAGCCAAAGGAAGAAACTGTTAGTCCTGAGAATTCCAGTGAAGGAGCATCTTCTGTTCCTCCCCCAGAGGCACCGGCCAAAGCAGAAGAGGTGTCTGTGCAGGAGTGCACAGAGGAGGTATCTTCTGATAATGAACAGAATCGCAAAGTAAAAGAGAGTTATTTCACTTCTGACAGTAGCCGAACGGATACATGCAGTAACTCTTCAGGCCCAGAGGTTTCTGCCACAAAAATACAACCAACAGCCATTCCAAGCAGCTGTCTCAAGTTTTCTGGCTATGACAAGCCTCATGTGCCATTAGATATGCTGATAGATGTTGGCGAAGAACAGCCTGTCATTGCTTACAGGCCAACTGACTAACCAGGATAGCTGAAGCGTTTAACCACAACTCAGGAAGAACAGCATTACTGAAGATTATGGGAAGCCTAGATGATATTACAAACATCAGCAAGTTGTACTTGTTCTGATCCAACCAGAATAACTAATGTACAACTTAGTACAGTGGGATCCTGAAACGGGACTGAAAGTAGTGCCTGAGAAAGGCATAAAAAGTAGGGAGAAATTTCATAATGACCACTTCTAGAAGTGTTTGTGTATATGACATAACTCGCTATTTCCTATTTGAAATAGCACTCTTTTTGTTTTTTTAACAGTACTCTATGGACTACAGACTTCGCGCAGGAGTATAAAACAGTAGCTGTATCATTTTTCTGTTTCAAATCCTTTTCAAAATCAATTTGATGAACATAAAGCTTAAGAAGTCCTTTACTTGGTTATGATAGAGATGTGCAAGAAGTATTTGAGAGTTTTTGCCTTTATTGAAGGTATTCTCTTGCTTGTCTTTTTCTCTTGAAGAGTACTTTTGAATTAAACAAAGGACTGTTGTTTCTTTTAAGTAAGCATATGCCTATAGCCTTTTCCTGTATATCTTAAGAATTTGATTCCATGGCCAAGAACCGGTTACTTATAGTTGTTTCTGCAGCTAGAAGTATGTACTTCCAGGACTGTTTCTTTGTACGTTTGAAAGGGAAACCAGTATCTGATGATTGTTATTTTGTAAGCTGAAAATCAAGCACAGGAGCATGAGTGCTTTGCGTGCACTTGTTGTAGGGGGCGGACGCACACACACACACGCGCGCGCGCACAACTGACCTCCTCTTGTAACTTTTGCAAGGTTAAATGTATTTTTTAATGCCAGTTTCTGCACTGGAATTACAAAAGCCACTGAATTACCACCCTCCCTGCAGGTATGTCTTCTGTGTGCTGGGTACTTAACAAGTAGCCAATAGCACAGGGATAGTTCAGATGTTTAAATTGCTCGGGCCAACTTGCAGGTTTTATAATTGTGAAATAAAGAAGTTTAAGGGTGCACCAAGCACCAGATTCTTTTATTAGCTGTGACTAGCTGAAAAGGGGAGGCCACAGTGAGACAAGAATGTGCTCCCTGGGTCAATAAGCTCTATTTCCCCCAGTCTTGTTTCCAGCACTTGCTAGTAGTGATATTAAGAGAGCTCCTAAAAACAGGGCAAGTGCACGATGGTATTTCTGCTAGGATGCAATCCAGCAGCCTGCAATGTGAGGACTTCTTGGGACAGGGAATGCGGAAATGCCTTACTAGCTACAGCTAGTTAGCCTTGCTTTTGCAGTTCTGTAGTACCAAGTATCTGAGCCGTGTGGTTTGGAAGCTGCCAGGTAGTACTTATCTATGCATTTGCACTTAACTACTACATGAGTTTAAATGAATAAACTAATACTCTTGTGATGAAGTAGTAGTTTGCTTAAGCTTCTGGATATTCATGCATAGCACCTCGATGCAGGATATCAGTGCCTAACATTTACAGGTTCAAAATCATTTAATATTCATGCCTTTTACATACATATCGGCTATCCAGTATGACACACATAGAAGGTTTCGCTGCTTCAAGCTGTTTCAGGTGAGTTTTGCTCTTGTTATGGCTGCTCAGCATTCCTCCCTTCCTGTCTCCTAAAGATGATTTGGGGGATGATGGAATATAAGATTCCAAAACATTATGTCCTGTGCAGGAGAAATTGTGTCACACGGCTTTGGCCTAATGCCTGACAATATTTCTAAGAACTTACTTAGTTCTCATTTTTGTGTGGACATTGTAACTTTTTATTATCAGATCTGCAATTAACAATGAAGTGTTGTGGTAATACTGCATGCTGGCACAGAAGCATCAAATGTTGTGCTTTTACGTTTTTTCCACGTAAATCAATAATGTAGTTTAAAAAAAAAATATCATTCTTGTGCTGATTTTGGCTGGGATAGAGTTAATTTTCTTCATAGTAGCTGCTATGGTGCTATGTTTTGGATTTGTGCTGAAAATGATGATAACACAGGGATGTTTTAGTTACTGCTGAGCAGTGCTCACACAGAGTCAAGGTCTTTTCTGCGTCTCACCCCACCCCACCAGCGAGTAGGCTGGGGGTGCACAAGAAGCTGGGAGGGGACACAGCCAGGACAGCTGACCCCAATGGACCAAAGGGATATTCCATGCCATATGACGTCATGCTCAGCATATCAAGCTGGGGGAAGAAGGAGGAAGCAGGGGACGTTCGGAGTGATGGCGTTTGTCTTCCCAAGTAACCGTTACATGTGATGGAGGCCTGCTTTCCTGGAGATGGCTGAACACCTGCCTGCCAATGGGAAGGAGTGAAGGAATTCCTTGTTTTGCTTTGCTCGTGTGTGCAGCTCTTGCTTTACCTATCAAACTGTCTTTGTCTCAACCCATGAGTTTTCTCACTTTTACTCTTCTGATTCTCTCCCCTGTTCCACCATGGAGTGAGCAAGCGGCTGGGTGGTGTCTATGGTTCATTCTTCTCCCTGGAACTGCAGCATTCCTCCTACGCATTTGTCTAAAGACTCCACGACCCCATCAGGCATTTTATTTCAGGAGTTCTTTACCCCTAGAAAGTGTTTTCTAATGTCTAATGCAAGTCCTCCTGACTGTAGGAACATAATTATCCACAAGGGGCCTGATGAACATA